GGGTGGGGTGGGGTGGGGTGGGATGGGGGCCGGTTTGGCTGCAGTCCCAGGACAGGGGCCGCGATGTGTGTGTGTGTGTGTGTGTGTGTGTGTGTGTGTGTTTGTGTGTGTGGAAGGAAGGAACGAGCTCGCGCTTTTTGGGTTCAGTCGCGGGCTGCGGCCATTGAAGTAAGAAGGAAGGAAACAGCAAGCACAGCTTTGTTGAAAAGTGGGGGTGGCCCGAACTGGGAAAGTCAGAGGGGCGCCGATGCTGAGGGGTCAACGCGGGAGAAGGCCCAGGAGGGGGGTCGTCAACACGCGATGTCCGGGTGGGGCCGAGGACCATGCGTCCTGAGCGCGCACTTTGTACCACTCGCGGGTGGCGGCGTCGCAGCCGTACACCAGGAACGCGCGGCCGTGCACGTTGATGACGCCGCCAATGCGCAGGTCCTCGGGTCTGGACGGGGAGCGTTTGCATTGTGTTTGTGCGGGCGAGCGTGAGTGTGCGATGTGTTTGTGTGTGCGTGGGAGTTTCTGTGTATTGATGTTTGTGTGTTGGAGTGTATGGGGGGGGCGTCTGTGTGCGTGTGGTCTGGCGGCTCGATGCGATAGGTGCTTTTGGATACAGAGCAGCTTGTACGGTGCAAACAGGCTCTCCAAGCAAGCATGCCGCGAGGCCTGCGCCCTTGGGGTGGCATCCAGGCTGCTGCAGGCAGGCCTCTGCCCGATCCCCTCCCGAAGAAAACGACGTGCAAAAGCGTCCCGGCGCGCACCTGTAGCACATGCTCTTGGGGAAGCGCCCTGTCAGAGTCACGCCGCGCGGCTTGGCGCGCGGCAGCGGTCCGCGCTTGACAAAGATGGGGAACGGGTCGCGGCCGCTGTTGCGCTCGTGCACCTGTGCGGTGCCAGGTGTGGGGCGCCGCGGCGTGAGCCGTGGCTTCGTTGTCTCGTCGGCGAACCACGCCCACCAGTTCAGCTTGGAATTGTGGATGCCGCCCTTTCCTTCTCGACCCCCGTGGCAAAGGGGAGCATCTCAATTCACAACTGCAGCTTGTAGACGCTCACGCCACGTGCGGCCCACCACAAAACATCCCCTCAGACACCAAATGGACCCCTGGCGTGACAACTACACACGCCCAAGCGCGAGCCCGCCCACCCCGCGGCTGGGAAATCCCCCAATGCTCACAGGTCCCAAACGCAAAAGATCGCACTCTGTATGATGCGCCGCTTGCACCCGCACGCACCTCATTAATCTCCACAGTGTCATCCTCCAGGTAGAAGTGCAGCACGTATGGCCGCCTGTCGCCATACATGCCCTGGCGGTCGTCCCACACGCACCTGCAGGCAGGCACACAACGCCCGCATGCATCCAGCGTTGCCAGGCAGCACGCGATGCAGGCGCGGCGCCGCGCGCCACGCTCAACTGCTGGAGGGGCGGCAAAGGGGCTGCAGGGGCCGCGCGTTGCGCCAACGCAAGTGCCCCAGAAGTGGGGATCTGGCCGGCCCCGTGTTAATTTTCATCCCAGGGGACAGGCAGCCCTCTGGATATGCGCAGTGCCCCCTCCGTTCCAGATAGCAGCGCCAAGAGACGCCGCCGCGCTAGTGGTCTGCCGCTTCAAGAGGCGCTCACCAGAAGCGCAGCACCTTGCCGTTGTTCGCGATGAACTGGCGGAGCTTGTCGCCCTCCAGCAGGTGGCTGGGCTTGCCCAGGCGCGCCTCAACAAAGGTCGCCAGGTCGTTGCTCTTCTTGGCTGCAGTGCAGGAAGGGGGTTTGCGCACAGGGATGGGTATCCGCTGAAGGGCGCGGCGCTAAGCACCGGGAGGGGCCAGGGAAGAGAAAATTGCAGACAAGGAGGCTGCAGGATTGCACAATGGGCCGTGGCGCCCGCTCAGAATGTCCTCAACGAACAACAGCAGGGGTGTATTGCCGGTCGCGCTGGGCGGGGGGAGGCGGGACCGTGCCATGCAGCCGGGCCCTTGCCCTGCGGCTGCTCACAGGGGCCGGTGGATGTCAGCCCAAACTTTGTGCGATACGCATCAACCTGCAAGCCATAACGAAGGCACGCAGACAGGTGCGGGGCGGTTGGATTTTTCTGAGAGCATAGACGAGCCTCTCGTTTTGCGGTTTCATGGGGGATACACGTGTCACCCCCAGCCATAATGCCTAGTTGCTGCATCGACAGGGCCTGCACCCTGACCCAAGACAGCGTAGCTGGCTTGATGTGGCTCGACACGTGCAGAGTTGTGAGGTGGGAGCACCATCCCCACCTGGTCTGAGGGGTAGCCCTGGGCGTCTGCCTGCTCCAGCTGAAGGTTCTCGCGGAACCACGCCCGCGTGAACTGGTCGCAGTCCACCTATATGTGTGTATGCATGTGTGTGTGTGTGTGTGTGTGTGTGTGTGTGTGTGCGCGCGTGTGTGCGTGTGTGCGCGCGTGCACATGTGTTCGTGCATGTGCACGCTAAAGTGTCCCTCCGGCATCCATTGCACAATGCGCATACTCAAAGGTTCAGGGCCAGTGCATGTCAACAGGGAGGGCCGCGACCACGTGCGCCGCCCCTCCCTCGACCCGCCCCCGCTCCGCACCAGGAAGAAGGTGCGCCCGTAGACGTCAATGGTGGCCCCCACCGCCAGGTCGGCGGGCACAATGGTGGCGCCGCTGCCGTCGCCGCGCGGCACTTGGTGGCGGCGCACAAAGATGCCCTGAGGGATGCCGCTGTTGTCCTGCTTCGGCTCCGCCACCTGCATTGGTGTCGTTTGAAAACCGGGATGCGGGGCGTCCGCATTCACAGTGGGTGTTGGAAAACGTCATGCCTGTGGGAGCTGCAGCCTGGCTGCGCCTGTGGTGATGCCGTGCCGCCGGAATACGAGCTGGGGTACCATGCTCCACACCTGCAGGCTTCACCACCCCGAGCCTGCATGAGTGGCACGAGCGCATGCCCCGCCCGCAGCATGCGAGCCCCATGCGAGCCCCATGCAAGCCCCATGCGACGTCGGCACCGTATGCATGCACCCGCTTGCGCCTCCTCCTCCCGCATCCGAGGGGCCTCGAACATGCAAGCCTCCGCCCCTCGCTCCGACTGGGCTCCTTCCCCCTGACGTGCTCACGCACCTGCAGGCTGTCGTCCGCAAGATAGTAATGCAGCGCCACGCGCCGCATGCGGTGGTTCTCGATGTTTGACTCGGTGACTGACTCCTGGAAGTAGCCCCAGAAGCGCAGCACCTGCAGGGACAATGCCGATGGGGGACACAGAGCACGCAATTGGTCAACCGCACAGCGACAGGTCAGGCGGGTCTACCACATGAGCCGCCTGCGGCAGATGCGCACTGCTGCTGCACTTCAGGGTAGGAGCGCACCTTGCGGTCGTTCTCGACCCACTTGGGCAGCGTCTCCCCAATCGCAGAAGCGGCGCGCGGCTCGCCAAACGCCATCGACGCCGCAGTGGCGCTCGGGCTGGCCGCCCCCGACGCGCGCAGGTCCCCGCAGGACATAAGAGGCTCTGATTCATTTGCATATCCTTTCAGGTATGTGAGCGTCTGCTTGCGGCCCAGGTTCTTGCCCTCAAGGCATGGCTGCGAGGAAAGGGCCGTGCGATCGCCGAAAGAGCGGCGCGCAGGACATATGGATACGTGAATGGTAGCCTAAAGCATGCTCAACGTCCTGGTTGTGGCAGTGCTTATCACCGCAGGCGAAAACCGAGCTGCATCACTTGCCACGGAGTGCCCTCGATCGTCCGTTCCCCCTTCTCACCGGCAGAGATATCTGGTACCCTGGCAACTTGGGAAGCGACCCCATCGCGCTCCGCGGACCCACACGGGTTCCAGACGACCAGGTCAACCAAGCACAGCGGCACTTGAAGGCAGAGAATATAACATAAACGCTCTTATGAGACTCAAGACTCCCGGATGGAGCCTGTAGCATATAGCCCGGCCGGGGTTGCTGGTGCTGATGTTGAAGCACCTGCACCGCAAGCAGCCGCAGGTTGGCCAGTACAGCGGACAGCGGAGCATCAAAGCTGACAACTGCCAATTGTTCAGAGTGGCCGACCGAAGGGCGCACTTTTGCCAAACTGCACAGGACACTGCCCGCTGGGTGTGGGTGTGGCCAGCTTTTCTCATGATCCGCGAGCAGGCTGATGTGCGTGCGGCAGCCTTGACTGGCATCCATGCCGCCTGCCTCACCCCAAAGCAACCGCGCAATGCAGAAGAAAGGGCGCCGCGCAAGTTACTGGTGATGCCAGCCTATGATGCAAAGCTTTTGGAACAGCAGTGACGGCAGGTTCACACTGCCGTGAGCCCCACATACGCTACAAGACAATCCACCTCGCTGCTGTCACTCTCGCGCAGCAGCGCCGATCGCAAACCAGGCACAGTCCGTGCCGGACGTGGGGCGCGCGCCCTGGCCTGGGCATAGAAAATGCGCCAGGCGGAAAAGCAGGGGCAGGATGCCGCTCGCTTGCCCCTGCTGACCCGGGCGCGCCCCCAGGTGCTGCGCGCGGTGGTGCTGTCGCCGTCCTATTGGGTTTCACGCGCCCTTGGCCTCCCTGCGCGTTGCGTCGTGCAGAATCTCCACATCTACGCTGCCAGGGGGTAGCTGGGGGGTCGGGCGAGTGTATGTGGGGGGGGGGGGCAGGGCGGGGTGAGGCGAGCAGAGAGGAGATAGAGAGCATAGAACGGGTGCCCAAACGTAGCCGGGTGACGCAGGGTGGGACGTGGGATGGTAGCGGGTGCCGCGTGCTGTGGCATTCGCGAGCCGGTTGCGTGGCCCGTGGCGCTGCTGGGGTGGTGGTGGCTCACGTGCACGTAGCGGACTACGGAGCCGCGGACGAAGCAGTTGCGGACGGACATCTGCGGGGAGGCAAATGAGGGAGGGGTCCGGGTGGTTGAGGGTGCAGCCGGTCCGCAAGTGGCGCGTTGCACGCCCTCGTAGCTGACCAGCTTCTCCGGAGAGGTGTGACGCAACAAGCAAGGGCGCAGCTCGGTGTTCTGTAACACGGCACGGCTGATACTGGCACGGCGCAAGCCGCTGCCCAGTACTGCTCCCCCCTGTCCTCGCTGCTAACCCAACCATCAACACGCGCCCTGCCCCCCCCTCTCCCCCTCTAGCTCCCCAAACGGACCGCCTCCCACCGCCATCGCACCATATGGGGGTACTTTGCCTCGTCCACCACCCGCGTGGATGTGAGCTTGATATTGAGATACTGGTCCACAGAGTGCAGCACCCCCGTGATGGCCAGGTCATTCTTCAGCTCGACGGTGACCTTGTGGGATGAGGGTGTGTAGTGAGTCGTATCGGCAAGGTGCGGGGCGTGCGGAGTGTGCGGTGCCTGCTGAGCGCACGCGGCACTGCCTCGTACGCCGGCCTGGGTTCAGGCGCGCTGGGAATGGCGCGACGGGCGGGCACCTCGTCTGCAGCACGCAGGTGCAGCAGCTTGAGCGCCAGCAGAAGCATCGGCAGCATCGGGCGCATGCGCTGCTTCGGTAGCACTGCTGTCTTCCAGCCTGAGCTGCCGCCAGCCCTCGGAGGCCCTATCCCTAATGCCAGGGCACCGCTCACTTCCTTCCCGACCAGCGTCTTGAAGTACGAGTAGAACAGCATCCTGCCTAACCCCTGGCTAAGGGCGGGCTGCGCCTACCAGCACCGCCTTGCTCTTGCTGCGTGCACACGCTGCGCCCTTGCAGCTCGAGCTGTGCCGCTGCTGCCTGCCTGCCCCACTGCACGCACCGAAGTTCTGCTGGCAGCTTGTGTAATGCGATGCGAGCTGATACAAGTTCCAGTCCTATTTCAAGTACCTTGTCAGAGCAAAGTAAAAGCAGCGTCTATTGATCTGGTGCCGTGCGATCTGCGAGCAGGGCCACGATCGGTGTCAATCTTACTCAAGCTTTCTCACGCGTGCCTTGTATTTGTGGGAAATTACCTGATTGTGCCGTCTCGGCAACAACAACGCGTGAGCGGAGTGAGTCCAGTGACCCCTCTCCATCTGCCTTACAAGCGTCGAACTCGGGCCCCTCACACCAATACCGGGCACATGCATCACTGTTCTCAGCTCGCCTGCAAACGTTTTTAAGAGCTGCCAGATCATCTTGACTGCAAAAGCGATAATGAGGGGCGCCAACTCCTTGTGGCGATTGTCTCAACAAGGTATTACTCGCAGCTTGATACCATGCGCCGCTTTTCAGAGTGGCACGTGCCATAGCTGCGGCAGCAGCAGCAGCAACAGCAGCACCAGTGTCGGTGCAGTGACGTCCTTGGTCCGACTCTTTTCCAGCAGCACTGGCAGCGCTAGCAGTCACGGGAGTACAGCCATCACTAGCAATAGGGGCGGCGAGGCCAGCACCTCTGCTGGCGGCGGCTCAGGCAGCGGATCGGGCGCGGCCGCAGCCACCGGCGGCACGGCTGCACCTGGCCTGCGGCCAGGGTCTGGCCGGTTTTACAAGACAGTGCGCGTCGAGCGGGCGCCGGCCGGACAGGTGCGTTGCTGCGCGGCCTGCTCGGCTCACAGTCCCCCCTGCTGCTCTCGCGCCCGCCCCGCCGTGCACCCCGAGGGTGACCCCAGCTGCGCTCCCCTGCTGACTGTGCGGGCCGCCTCCCTCACGCGACGTCCCACACCTGTGCCTGGGCCCGGGCCTGCCTCAACAACAGGTGGGGTGGCAGCTGCTGCTGGACACCTACCCTGTGCGGACGCCGGCCCGCAACCCGGTCGTGCTCCCTACGTACCCACTCGCCCTGGCGCTGGCTGCAGAATGGGAGTGGCTGGTGCGCGGCCCCCTGGCAGTCGTGGCGTTGGTCCAGGCCATGCGGGGGTGGCGGTGACGCCGGCGCAACCAGCGGGGGACCCCCGATCCACAGCAGTGCGCGCATTCTTGTCGCGACGCCGTCGTGGCACGACTCAGCGGGGCCAACTTTGAAAAGGGCAGGGCTCCGACGGCGCGCAGCTGCGGTGCACGTGCGCTCGCCCACTGCCCACCTTCGGTCGACCCCACGCGCCCCGCCGCGGCCAAACGCGCCCGTCCCGCCGCACCCGCGCCGCCGCACATGCAGCCGGCGGGCAAGCCCATCCTGCACGCGATGCCGTTGATGAGCCTCGTGGCAACCGCCATCGACCAGGTGAGGGGGCCGCCCCGCTGTTACCCCGCCCCGCGCGCCCGCGCCGCACCCCCAGCCCCCCGCAGGCCAGGTCCCGGCTGCCGTGCGCCCGACGGCCCACTCTTTGTTGTCGCACATACGCAGCTCATCGCACGCTGCCTGACACCTCACCTCGCCTGGCCCCTCAACCCTCGCGCCGCCAGCTGCAATTGACCGACCGACCGACCGACCAACCCTCCAACAAACCAACCAACCAACCAACCAACCGTGCAGCCCAAGCCCCGCGGCCGTGTTGTGGATGACCTCTTGAAGTACGCCACCACTGACGCGGCCTGCGTGCGCTATGAGCCAGGGACGCTCGCGACGCGCCAGGCCAAGGCAAGCCCGATCCATGTTTTGGGGGCAGGGGCGGACGCGGCGCGCGCGGCCGTGGGGGTTGGGATTGGCTCCGTCGGGGCCGCGCGCCGCGCGAGGGGGAGGGCAGCGCGCGAGGCGCTGCTGACACCCTCCGTGGCGCGCGCACGCGCGCGCGCGCGCCTGCCGTGATCCCCCTGCGCCTCGCGCTCCGAGGCCCTGAACAAACCTGACCGGCGCTGCTTCGTGCGCGCGTGCAGGTGTTTGACCCGCTGCTGGCGTGGGCACGCGAGGAGATGGGCTGGGACCTGGCAGCCTCCGACGACATCGCCGGCCCAAACCAGGACCCCGCAGCGCTGGCGGCGGTGCGCAGCTACCTTGAAGGTGCGGCGGCCGCGGCCGCGCCCGCTCGGCTTCCACCCTGGCCGCTCGCCGGCGCCGCCGATGGCCCCACACCGGACGCCCGCGCCGGGTCTTGTCCCGTGCGTGCCCGCAGGCTTGAACGCTCTTCATTTGCCTATGATCTGGCCCCTCCCGGCCCGTATGACGCCGGCCCGGCTCTTGATTCAACCCCCACCGCCTCAATCCCTATAATCAACGCCAGGCCTCGACCCCTGGCGCCTGGCCGCCGCCGAGCAGCTGACCGCTGCCTGCAAGTCTGTCGTGCTCGCCGCCGCGCTGCTGCGCGGGCGCCTCGCGCCCGGGGACGCCCTCGACGCGTCGCGGCTGGAGGAGGCGTTCCAAATAGAAGACTGGGGCATGGTGGAGGCGGGGCACGACCTGGACGTGGCAGACCTGAAAACGCGCGTCGCGGCGCCGGCGCTGCTGGTCCGCCTGCTGGGCGCGCCGCCTGGGGCGGCGGGGTGAGGGCTGCGGTGGCAACGCGCGCTCGCGGCGCTGTGGTTTTGGAGGACTGCTGGAGTAACATAAACTCCATTGATCGAGCTCGCTTGCAAATCTGGCACTGTTCCGTATCCTGCTGCTCAATGATTGGGAGATTACCATGACCGCGCCGCGCACGGCGCAAAAGCAATACGTGCAGGGCGGGCGGCGCGAAGCCACGGGCAGCTGCGGGCACACAATGAGCGCCCGCGCGTGCCGGGGAACGCGCCGAGGGGGGGGGGGGGCGCCGAGAAGATATATCAATTTCGTGGGGCCGCGACGGCCGAGCGGGCCGCATCCAGGGGGGTTGCGTGCGACGGCGGCGTGCAGCGGCGGCCGGGGGCGGGCGCTCGGCATCTCAGCGCCGCCCGCCCTCAGGCGCCAGCTGGCCCGCGCGCGTCGCGGCGCACGCACAACCCCACACACCAAACCACACCACACCACCAAACCAACGCCGAAATGAGTGCAAACCGAGATTGTCTGGGCCCCGCCCCCTAAAGCTGCTCGGCCCCAAGCCAGATTCAATCAAGACCAATTTTGCCGAGCCACACGGCCAGCGCCGCGTGGCCGCCCCTGCCCAGCCCGCCGTCAAACAGCCGTGTGATCAGAACAGCAGCCCGGGGGCGGGCTTCCGGCCCTGCAGCTTCTCCAGCTCAATCCGCTCACGCCCTGGGGGGGGAGGGGGGGGGTTGTGCAGCGGTGGGAGACGCGGGCGGGGCAGGCTGTGAGGCGAGGGGAGCGGGGCGAGCCATGGCGGGCTGCCAGCCAACAAGGGCCATGAGTGGCCCGTCAGCACGGGCAGGTTTTGACGCAGCAGGGTTGGGCGACGTGCACGCCCGCGCACACACACACTCACACAACAAGTTATGTGCGCGCGCTTGCAAGTGGCCTGCAAGTCGGTGAAATCTAGTATCTCCAATGCTGTTCACGATAGCTGTCAGTAAAACGCTCTCTCTCTCTCTCTCTCTCTCTCTCTCTCTCTCTCTCTCTCTCTGTCACTCTCACGTACACGAGCACACCCACACCCACACCCCCCCACACACAAACACACACACACACACACGCACGCGCGCGCGCGTGCGCGCACACGGCGCTCACTCTGCCGCAGCCGGCTGGCCACGTAGAAGGCCATCTCCAGCGACTGCTCCGCGTTGAGCCGCGGGTCGCAGTGCGTGTGGTAGCGCGACTCCAGGTCAGCGGGGCCCACGTTGGCGCCGCCGCCGATGCACTCGGTCACGTTGTCGCCCGTCATCTCCAGGTGCACGCCGCCGGGCACGGTGCCGAGCTGTCGGGGGGCGGCGTTTGGAAAAGCGGGGTGGGTCGGGGCGATAAAGGCGTGCGGCGCTGGCTGGGAAGCCGCCTGCGCCGCGTGTCGGGCGGGCGGCAGCCCAGGGGCGAGCCACCGCCTGGCCCTCCTGCAGCGCGCTCCGCCCCCATGACGATGGCCGCCAGTGGCGCACGCGCAGGCTCTCGCGGCGGCCTGAGCCCCCCGGGCCTTTTGATGCAGCCGCCGCCAGGCACGGGCACCCAAAAATCTGTAACCGCGGGTGCGCGTGAGCGCCCTTGCGCCCCAGCGCCCTTGCGCCCCAGCGCCCTTGCGCCCCAGCGCCCTTGCGCCCCAGCGCCCCACACTCGATATCTGTGTGTGGGCGCAGGCGCGTGAACGCGGCCGCGTCGCCCCACAATTGGTATCTGAGGGCGCCGGCCGCACCGCCCCACCTGGTCGTGCACGTCGAAGAAGGCCTCCACCTCGGCCCGGATGTTGTCGTAGCGCCGCGTCTTGAAGCCCGCCACGCTCTCAGTGTTGCCGTGCATGGGGTCGCACACCCAGGTCACCACCTGGCGGGGGTGCGAAGGGTGGGGGCGTGCGGCAAGGAGATGGGCGCGTGCTGCGCACGAGCGTGCGCAGGCTACTTCGTGCATGCAGCCGGCGCAAACATGCAAAACACACACACACACACATACACACACGCACGCACATACACAGTCTCTTCACAACCACACACACAGGGCTCACTTTGGCGCTCTCCTTCCCTCTCCCGTTCTTCATTTTCGTTTGATGCACCCTGCACGCACGCGCAGCATCCGCACGCGGGACACGTGCACGCTCACACACACACCCACACACACACGCACCCACCTGCCCGGCCTCCTCCACGGCCTCTATTAGGCCTGGGAACTTCTCGCGCAGCTTGGCCGCCCCCATGCGCACGATGACCGCCAGGCGGCCCGGCACGTTGTCGGGGTTGAGGGTGGCGATGAGAGACACCAGCTTGGAGGGGTCCATCTTGTCAGACACCTTTGGGGGGTGGCCGGGGCGCGGCGGAGCGAGGGCGGGCGGAGCGGGGTCGGGGTCGGGCGGGGTGTTGACGGGGGGGCGGCGTTTCAAGGCCCTGCCAGAGTCGTGGAAGGGCCGGCTCACGCGAGTGCGGTCAGGCGGCGCCATGGCGCTGGCTTGCGGGGTTTTGCGGGCAGGAGGCTACCGCCTTGAGCATCCACTGCTCAGCCGGGCCGGCGCCGTCGCCCCTGTTACAATCACAGGCGCGTCGCTTGCCCGCGCTCACGCCTCCCTGCTGGCCCCGCACCCGCCGCGGGGTGCGCGGGGCCGGCGCTGCGCACCTTGACGCCGATGGGGTTCTGCACGCCGCGCATGAACTCGACGTGCGCCGCGTCCAGCTGGCGGGTGCGCTCGCCGCACCAGAGGAAGTGCGCGCTGCAGTCGTACCAGAGGCCGGTGGTGGAGTCCAGCCTGGAGGCAGGGGGTGAGAATGTGTGTGTGTGTGTGTGTGTTGTGTGAATGTGTGTGTGTATGTGTGTGTGTGTGTGTGTGTGTGTGTGTGTGAGTGTGTGTGCGCACGCACACGACAACACAGTTTCAAAGCCGTGCCGGTGGCTGGAAAACGCGCCGCGTCCCCCAAGCGCTGGGCTCGGCGGCCGGCCCGACGGCGCTCGCTCGCCGCGCACCGCCCCCCACGCCTCATCCACCCCAGCCGGCGGCACTCTGAACCCACCAACCACCAACCACCGCCACCCCGCCGCCCGCGGCGCGCCCTCCCTCCCTCCCTTCCTCCCGGCGCGCGAGCGCACCCACCGCGTGAGCGCCGTCTCGTAGTCGAGCAGCAGGCACTCGTGGCTGGTGTAGAATTCGGTCTCCTTCATGATGGGCTGGCTGGCGTCCAGGCCGCACGCCTGCATGAACGTGATCGCCTCGTCCACGCGCTGCAGGGG